AGGGAATGTAATGGTAAGTTTTCAGTTTTTAGCAAGATGCCTCTAGTAGCACAAACATCTCAGCGTATCTGCCTGTCTGACTTGAAATAGGTCCAGTGTTTGGTCTTTTTCTTTGTGGATGGGAGGTTCAAACACACAATTGTTTCATTCGTTCTGGGAGGTCTCTGGTTGGGGATTATGACCCACTCCATGTTTTCAGCATCACTTTTCTCTTAAGAATGACACTGGGGATTACGTTTTCTCTTTCTTCTCTGGCCTGTCAGCCTGTGCCCTAATTTGGAGTCGTGAAGGTAGAAGGAGGATAAGATGTTGCTTTCTCATGGGCAGTTATGCTAGAAAACAACATCATGAGTGCTTGGGCTCTTCAGGAAGGATCATTTGCTGGGTGGGGAATCTTCAGAAGGTATAAAGAAATTTCAAATCAAGACCTTTCAGAAGAAAATTAGAGCAGAGCTAGAGGAAGATGTGCGCAACGGAAAAGGTAATTAATAAGATGATGTATGACAATAATGTAATGAGCCTGATACCCAGGTTTGGTGAGTCAGCCTCATAACTTTATCATAAAAAGGGGAATCTCTCTTTTTGTTTTTTTGTTTTTTTTCCACTGCACACAGCAGATAGCCTAGACAGAATCCTTGTGGAATTAACAACAAAATACTTTTGAGTTGCTCATCTCTACCTTCTCATGCCGCTTCTAGGCCCTGATGTCTCCTGACATACGCTGAGGGACCTGGTGCTGAGGGACCTATTAGTTCTTTCAACATCGAGCATCCAGGGGATACCTTGCTGCCTCCCTGGACATGACAGAGAGAGGGCATGGGAGAAATTCCCATCTCTATGCCCTGAGGCTGTCAGGGCGGCCGCTGCCTGGCTCTGAATCTTGGATGTACGGCTCTGCCTCCACCCTCTGCTGAGCCCCGCCACTGTGTGCGCATTGAGTTGTAACTTCCCCCCTCCAAGAAATGCTGTGGTTTCATGAAGTTATGGGTGATTAAAAAAAGGAAAAAGTTGTTCTCTTTGGTTGCTTTCAAGCCTGGGGGATTGCTGAGCTCAAAACGATCGTTATTGGAACACAGAAGCCTTTAGGGCTGAGTCCTGTACCCCAGATCACAGCTGATTTCTTTTCTTTCTTGAAAAGACTCGTTTTTGTTAGTTGCTTGGTAACTGGAGGATAGGCTGAACTCATTCCGCACAGAGAGCTTTGAGTGCGAACTGGCTTCAGCTGTCACATGATGAGATAGGGCTGAAGTTGGTGTGTGTTGAGGGCCTGCTCTGTGCTCTCTGTTTCTGGTACACCATCTGTGCGTGGAAGGTGTTATTAGGAAGTTAAGTGAGCTGCTTGGGATTGGAAGTGACCTCTCTGAAAATTTTTATTTTTTTAATGTTTATTTTTGAGAGAGAGAGAGAGGGAGAGAGAGAGAGGCGCGGGGGGGGGGGG